TGGATTCCACTGTGTTGTCTAGATGTTTCCAGAACGTGGAGGTAAATGAGCACATCATATATCTTGTCATGTATAATGTGGAAACATGTCCAGCACGGAACTAGTATGGAGTTCTGTGTGTTCTGGGACCTAAGGTTAATGAGAGACTGACCAGCTTTAAAGGTATCTTTTGGAAAGATGGAAGATGGTGTATGTTTTGAGTCAAAAGGAGGGCTTTTCCTTAGGCTGTTTTCTGTGTCCCTTGGGACTAAGCAGATAAAGCTACAGTAATATGGTTCGGGAAGGACCTTTGGAGGTCTTCTCCAGGCAGTGAAGTTGGAAAGGGGGAAGAAAGGATGTATAATAAAGCTAGTGTAGCTGGAAGGGAGCATGAGCACAAGGCAGTGGACAGTGATAAAAGAACTGGTGGGGAGAGAGGAGACAATGGTAGAGCTGTGAGGAACTGAAGACTCTGGAAATGTAATTAGAAGCAGGCAGGCATAAATATGGATACTTCTGGAAGGTCTGCCTGTTTTTGCATTTTTCACTCAACAGTCTGGTTTGGATGTATCCTTTTTTGTACTTGCATGCATCCAATTCAAAACCAAATGTGAACTTTTCCATCACCATTCCTGTGTCAGGATGCTTGTGGATGTTGGGCCTAGACAAACTAGAATGGAAATGTTCCGATTTTGATCATGCCTAATATTGGAACAACCAAACTGATCTTTAGTCCTGTTCTGTTCCCATTGTATTTCTGTCTTTCAATCAAAAATGGTTTCCTTTGGTGTACTTTTAACTGGGACAGTGTGAAGGAGGAAGAGCTGAGTACCTGGGTGATGGTTTGCATGTAGACAAACTCCCCCCTCCTTTTTTTTTAAACTTCTTCTAAAACTTACTTTTCCCTTGTTGCTGTATAGCTACCAGGGAAGTTTTTGCCATACCTTGCTGGTAAAAATGTAAAGGCTGAAACTACCAAAAGTAAAAATGTTTGTTCTTGGTAGGCTTATAATTTGACAGCCAAATGATGTAGTGGTTAGGTTCACAGTTCAAAATACCTATGCCAGGAGGCTGGGGGCCAAGTGTTTAATTTTAGGATTAATCCTGCTGTAGCAAGTTGGCAGTAATCTGAAATGATTAGTGGTTGTAGTTCATGCTCTGTGCAATACAGTATCTTTTTTTTTAATTTCGTGGGAAGTGTGTGGCCTTTCTCATCTCTAGTACTGATCTGCTATAATAGCAGTGTAATTAATTAGATAAAGCACTTCAGATGGTATGTGAAGATCAGAAACTTACATATTGTATCAGTTGCAGTGAGGGTAAAAATATAATTCTCTACCAAGAACAGTCCATGTTTGTTCTGTAGCTAAACTTACAGGACTTTGATGTCCATATACAATATGAAAATTCAATTGAAAGAACTTCTTTACACTGTTTGTACAATATGCTCTCTAGGAAAGGCAAGGATAGCCAGGTAATGGTATTGCGAAATTATTAAGGGCTCTGCCTGCAATACAGGAAAAATAATATACCCCGTGCCCCCACTGTCCAGAGGAAATAAAGCAGCATATCAAAATATGCTAATTAAAAGTTTCCAGGAGTGAATTTGTGTGCACACCATCCTTAGCTTGCCAGTTAACAGTAGTCTCTTGATAGAAACTATTGCTGTGTTTCCTTTTCAGGCTTCTCAGAAACGATCCTCTAAACTGGTGGGTAGCATTTGAAATCCAAAATAGCTACAGTTAGCTAGAATGTCTTGTTCTGTTGCATTTTGTTATAAAGGGAATGCTTTTCTCAAACAGGAGATCTGTCTTGACATTTTTACACATCCCTGGTGCATTGAAAAGGAAATTTAGAGAGACACACTGTGTCTAGATCTCAAAGACCCTGTGGTTAGAAGAGACTTTGTGTTGGGCTCAAGTGTTAAAGGTTTTGAACAAGCAGGAGAACATTCAATTAGAAGCTACCTGCGGTTTGCCAGCTATAAAAATAGAGCTGCATTACACTGATAGGCAAACCATCAAATGCTAGATTTCTTTTGTTGATTCATGTTGATGACAACATTGCTCACTTGCATATCTTTTTCTGAGATTATGTACTAAAAAAGTGTGGAGGGGATAGAATAAAACAGTCAATAGAGGAAATGTAAGAATAATATTGCCTTTGTGACCTGAATTTGCTTCCTTTATTTATCTACATTCTAATACAGTCCTTATCTGTTTGACTGTATTCTTATCCCAAGATGCTACTGCATTCGTTTCAGAGGTTAGGTCTGTCTTTAGGACTGAATAAGGGAGCTGTCTGCAGGACCATACTCTTGGCTGTTGGAGAGGCTGGAAGGGTCATGACAAGTGGGATGAGTGGTTGCAGAGACAAGAAGGATAAGTCTCACGGCTATAGCAATTGAGTTCTGACAAGTTCTTTTTCTGAACCTAGTTTAGCCACTTCGAGGCCATGTTCCATGGGCCGTCACTAACTCAGGGTTTTTGCAGTCAACCAGCTTAAGCACTGTTAGTTAATTTTTAATGCATTTCCCTAGATTTTGGAAAAAACTAAAAACCTGACACAGAAATTGTATGTTGTAAGCCATGCCAAAACCCTTCATGGTTCATTAGCATGACTGAACAGGTTAGATACACTGCATCATCCTTTGCCTTTTTAGCCAGCAGAAGAGCTGAAAGCAGTACTGTGTTGTACCAACAGAAGTAGTAGGGGAGCACTCTTGGTTTGCACAGGACTGAAGCTGAAAACCTGTGCTTCCCTTTTAACATTGGGCTCGGGCAGTAGCAGATCCCTTTGACATCTCTACGCTTGTTGCCGCTCGTTTTTTAAAGTTACCACTCTTCACACCCTGACCTGCCCCACCTTGGCTTTGTGTGTTAGTCCAAGCCTCCAAGCTCTGGTCAAGTCCCAGTCATCCTTCTCACCTGGTCTGTCTTTCTAGAGTTTTTATTGGAGCTATTATCTCTTCCTCTGCCACATCTTCTTGTTCAGTTCTCTCCTAGCTCTTCATCCCAGGCTTTTTGCCATGTGAATCCTTCACTGGCTTCTCATCCAGTCTGTGCTGTTTCATAATTTTGTACTGTCTGCTTTGTCTTGATAGATGTTTAGTTGCTAGTTCCCTCTTTTAGGGTCCTGATGCCTTTTGGGACAAGTAGCTTCCCTCTCCTCTGGAATATAGATTCACTAGCAGAGATATACTGAGTGTATCTCTGTACTTGCTTTCTGTACTGCCTACTGTGTTTAAAAAAATCTGCAAAAAGTCTTGTTCGCCACCTCCTGCTGGAGTGCGCTCGATTGGCTTGTGAGGCTGTCTCAGAGTCAAACCTGCCCGTGACTAAGATCTCTAGGGGGTGGTAGCATATATGGCACAGATGGCATCTTCAGAAACGTAGGTGCCAGATCTTAACAAGCTTCTGCGAGCACGTGCTAGCTGAATGACTTTTTTTTTTTTTCTTTTCTGGTGTCTTCATCTTGATGTAAGGAAGAAAAAGAACACCACCAAACAAAAAAAAAAAACCTCATAATAAAAGCCTAATCTGACTACTTGAATCTTCTTTCAAAGACGTGGGACAATTGCGTCTTCCTGGCAAAGCATAAAATAAGTCCATTTACTTCATTAAAGCAGCAAACTTCTGCAAAAATTCAGCTTAGGGGAAGCATGTAGCATAGCATCCTGTAAGGTGAGAGATATGAAATTCGACAATGTTAAAAGCATTTAAAGTCAGAATTGTATTAGAAGAGAGGTTTGAATGAAAACAGTACCATCAGTCAAAATTTTAATTTATAAAAGTTTTTCTGAAAAGCCTTTTGCTAGTTACAGTGGTATACATAATATAATACTGATATCTACTTTTGTTCTGGATTGGGTTCTGTTTTTTCTGGAGAATACTGTCTATGAAGTGGTTTTGCACCCTTAGTTACAAACGTATTTGCAGGTGTTTCTTTTTCTTGACTCCTTCCATCCAGCTGTATCTCAACAGACATGGTTACGTGAGCAGCCATAAGTATCTACTGCTTTTTATCCTTTGTTTCCGTGACATTGAGTCTCTGCACCTCTGTACACTGTCCTGCTATTCACACTTGTGCAAAGTAAGTGTGTAACTGTTGCTCTGAATTTGTAATATGTTGTGCTTATTTTGCATACCATTTGGGGAAATAGAGATCTGGGGCCCTTTTTGTCAGACCTCTGATGTTGTTGCGGGCTTTGTTTTCCAGTTCTGTAGAAAATGCCTTCATCTTGAGAGGGAGTGTTCTGAATTGCATTGCTATTATGTTGTTTCTGCTCAAAAGAGTTTACAGGTGAAACAGTGTTTAACTTTTTTTTTTTTAATGAGCTTTCCTAGATGATAAATTTACTGTATGAATGCCTCCCTAGCCATATGGTTGCATATTGCGTTCTGAGTATTTTTATGTACTTGAATTTTTATGTGTTAATAGGCTTAGTAGGGAAGAGAAATACCAGTGAGAATAATAGCCTCTAACATCCAGACTGCAGGGTACCAGGTTACACATCTGACTCTGTTACACTTTCTGAAGGCAAGACGCTGTGCTGTGGTTAAGATTTTGTGCACAAGTGACAAGCCACTGAAAGGCTGGAATATTACTGATTTACAGAGGCGGAGTGGCTTTGGGAGGAAAAGGAACAGGAGCGGTAACAAGCAGCAGTAGTGGTAGTAAAGGCAGGAGCAGATTTCCCAGTGAGTCAGTGAATGCACAGCTTCCCAGACAGCTATCAGGAGGAACCCCAAACTGACAAGAGATTCAGGGTTCATGTTTATCAAGAGAAGTCATGTGATCCTACTATATTTTAACTCGGCAATTTAGCCTTACTCTGGAGAAGAACCTTTGCTGCAGTGCTTAACCAAAAAAAAAAAGGGGGGGAGGGAGAGAAGCCAGAAGGAAAAATAAAGAAAATTGTGCAATGTGTGTTTATGCCTACATCATGCCGAGGAGACACTTAACAGTAAATAATCTGTGTATCCCTGAAGTAAGGTACTGTTTCTGCTTTCCCTGCACAGTGCTGCTGCAGCACGGAGCTGATCCAAACATTCGGAACACCGATGGGAAATCTGCACTGGATCTGGCAGACCCTTCAGCAAAAGCTGTACTCACAGGTAAGATGCATACATCTCAGCAGTATTACCTGTAATTCATTTTGGGTGTATAAGTTCAGCATTGTAAGAGCTTTCTGCCTTTTTGGATTTTCTGTTGTGTAAGAGCATTCTAAAACTCTTTAATCAGATTGTATATGTAGCTGTCGTTAATCTGCTGTGCTGCTATAGGTTTGCCTATTCTATTTATGCTAATGTTGCCATTTTCTCTTATAACTTCATTCATTATTCACTGTGTTTCTGTGTTTTTTTTTCCTTTTTAATTGCTACCCAATATACAGATTGGAGTCGCCAACCCCTGCAAAAAAAGACGAAAAAATCAGGTCAATTGTTTTAAGACCTTCACTATTGAGCAAGCAAGGACGTTTGTATAACTATAAAAGTAGCTGTGATCTGCAAGACCATCTACTACTGATTGCAGAGATCAATAGTTACATTATATTTTGCTGCAGATTCACATGCTACCCTTTCCTTCCTCTTCCTCATTAGTCATTTTAGGTAGAACTCTCACCCACCAATTTTTTTCCTTTTTAGGGGCTATTAGCTGCCAAACAATGTGTTTCATGACAATGTTCTACAGACACAACTTTATTTTTACTCAGCTTTGTTTTTTTATAAATGAACTGTTGTAGCATACCAGTAAGCATTAAAAGTATAATTTAGTAGCCTGTCAAATATGTATCAAGAAATACATAGTCCTCTGTGCTGATTTTGACATCTAGGAAATAATGTTTAGAACAAAGTAATCTTGGATTTTAAAATATATACAATTAGATTTATAGAAAGGGATTCAGTAGCTGAGCTTCATTTGAAGAAATAGCTGTTTTTCTTATTTCGCCTTTATCTTCCCTATTCTCTCTCTCTTCTTATTGACAGCTTAATTTATAGGTTATGTGCTGTGCAACACCTGTATTCTTTCTTCAGATTATGCTTAGAGCACACCCGCTCCCTTCACTTTGTCAGGAACATTTCCTCATCTTTTTCTAGTGCTCTGACTGCTACACATAATTCTCTACAGCTCTGCAGTGATTTGAGAGTGCCTTTGGAACAATGCACTTTAAATACATATGATTTAGTTTAATTACTCAGTGTCAAATTTAAACACTTTCTTACAGTGTTAACACTAATGTGAGCTGTGCTAAACCAGTTAATCTGACTTTGGGCTGTTAATGGGTACAGTTATTCGGATGCTGGGGATAGAAAAGGCACCAGGGAGTCAAGGTACCTCAAAGGTGTTAATGGATATTTGGCATTTAGTTGTGGGGAACTTGATATATGTACGTTCTGGGGGGGTCCAGGCTCCGAGCTGCTCTTCAGGCAATGCTCAAGGATCACCTTCAGAAGAAAGCAGAGGATTTAGGAAGGTCTGTGGTTGTGACTTCACATCTGCTCCACTGAGTTCTCTGGGCACTAGACTACTACATTGTGCTTTAGGCAATGGAGAGGGCAACGTGTCCTGACCAACAAGCAGAGATGGGTTAGAAGAAGCCCTTGGAGAATGTCCTGTTGAGTGCAGCAAGTGCCGTGTCCCTGGCCTCACCCCTAGTGTCTCGCATCCAGTGACTGCAAGCTTCTGCACCCAATGGATGTTACCAGGTTGTGCACATAAGCACCCATGCAAAGAGCCACTTCTGCTGCTATTTACATGTTTTAGTAGTCATAAAAATACACAATTTCTGTATGCGTTTATTCTTCCTACCAAGAAAATCAGCTTTTGCTTTTATCAGCTTTGTCCTCAAGGTGGCTCTTGGCTACGCTGGGCTCTCTGTATGCTGTGCACCTGAGCTGCAAGCTGCACAAACAGGGTTTGATTCAGGCTTTAGCTGCTGTATGATTCACAGTCACTGGAAAAGCTGACATTTAAATGGAAGCTTTCTATTAAGAGCTTAATTTTGCTGGATGCTGCCCTGCTTTCTAGTATGTCTGTTAGGCTGCTACTTTCTCATGCATTTTCCATATGTTGTTACCTTCAGGTCTTGCTTCATCCCTCTGGAAGAACAGGGCTTAAGGGATTTCTTAGGATCTATCTGGCTTGGGATAATCTTTAGCTGCAGCAATGCTTTGCAATTAGGTGCATCAGGACTTAAAAGTATTACTGGATTAAGGATGAGTAGGATGTATTAACTTAATTTTCAGTATTTAATGTTGAATGGTGGGATTTTGGAAATGCTCATATTTAGAGCTTTTAAAAGTGAAGTGATCCTGAAAACACGCTCTGCAATTGTTACTGTATTTGCATCTTTAAACAGCATGCATGTCAAGGCTGTTCTCATGATGTTATTTTGGGTTCCTTTTTCTATAGGTGTCTATGACCATAGTAGACTTCTCCATATCGTTGCTATATTTGTTGTTGGAGAACAAGGTTACTCTTACTACTTTTTTGACCAAAATTTTGCATGAATTTGTGCATTGATGGTAATCACTTTGCAAATGAACTGTGATTATAGTCTCTATTTGACCTCCAACTTAGCAAAAGTGAACAGAAAACTTGTTGGTAATTGATTAAATCTTTTCAATTTGCAAAGAATTCTGTATGTGTTTTAAAAGGACCATTTTTTTTTCCTGCTGTGTAAAAAGCATTTCTGCTGTTCTGGCAGCAAACGCTGAATCCACAATGATTTGTTCTTTTCTCTCTCCTAGTCTAGAAAAATGTGTAGTGTCGTCTTCTCCTGAATTACAGAAAGGATATATAATGCAGTAGTTTCTGGGCTGACTTCCAACCATTTTCTTCCAACGTTCTCTTAAAATATGTGTTCTATGAAGGATACATAATGCAAGTGAAAGGCTAATATTTTGATAGAAATGGACTTTGAAAATTTCTTTGTCAATTAGAGTGAAATTTATAGAAATTAAATACCCAGTTCCAGCTTCTTTAAAAAAAAAAAAGGTTATGTAATTGGGGAAAATGCTTTTTACTACTTAAACAGGAAAGCAGTCTTTTTTTTTTTCCCCCCCCCTTCTGCAGTATAAGCAGCATTTGTGTGAGCCAAGCACTTCATGATTGAGAGAGTGAATACTTTTTTTCTTCTTCCTTAGCATCCCTTACTGTCCCTGAATCAGGATGTCAGCAAAGTTTTGTAGTCCTCTTTTTCTCTAGGCTGAAGTGGTAGCACAGACTCCAAAAAGATAATACATCTAAAAACCAAAGCTGATACACACATCAGATTAATATCTTAGTTAATTTTATTTTAGTTTAATTGCTTTTGGGGTGTGTGGTTTCTGAGATGGGGACTCATCTTTGTTGCTGTACACAGCACTGTGGGACTCGCATCCAGAACAGGGCCTTCGGTAGCTTTTGCACTACAAGTCATATTAGTCTTCATTATTCTCTCACTCTGCTTATTGCCTCTTTCAACATTTATATCCTTTTATAGCTTTCCTGTACAGTATATGAAGAGCCAACAATATTGTTAATGATTCATGTGACTGATTTATTTTGATTTTTTTCATACAGTGATGCTTTTGTGCCACTTCCCCATATTAGCTGCTGTTTGGAAACTCTTTCTCTGTGTGAATGGTTATTCTTTCTAGTTGAGCAGTTTCCAAAGCTGTTAGCAGGAGCTGAAGGCACTTTGGTTAGATAATATATTATTGATTGTTCCATGCTGCTGTTTTGGAAGGTTGGTCTTGGTTGGTTTCAAGGATTACTCCCTTGAAATGGGTCAAAATGAAAAAAGTTTGGAAACTGCAGCATCTTCAGATTAAACAAAAGATTTCTTGGGTACGAAATGGTGTCTTCTGTGTTAATAGAATTAATTTTCAAAGTTAAACAAGACTCTGATCTTCCTACTTACTATGGAAATAATGTCTTTCACAAAGTGCTTAGGCCCTATTGAGCATTTCTCACTTCTGTTTTTTGGATGTGAAGGACAGCTTGATGAGTGAAAGTACAGCTGGGCTAAGGTTACCAGAAGCGCTAATGAGGATTCATGTTTTCATCTATTTGCCATGTCAACTTTTTAATTTAAGTGAGGAGCATAGTCCATTTATTGAAATATATTTGCACAATTTTTTTTTTAAAGTGAACTGCCATCTAGGCATAATCTGCCTGCAAGGAAAGGGAAAAATCTTGTATTTCAGTACAAAAAGTTTACCGAACTTTATAGAGAACAGAATGTGGATCCTAGGTACAACTCTTCCATTTTAAAATTAACAGGAAGAGAAGAAATTATTTTCGTTCTGGTTAGTTTTATTTTTATTCTGGCACCTTTACAGCTTGATCGTCTCAGAGTTTGGGATTTCCTTATGAGTTGGTGGTATTTCCTTTCAGGTACTCCTAGGATTCACTGGTATGGGTATCATATGATGCTTTTATGTTTGGAGTCTGTGGTGATACTTTACATCTTTCTGGAGAATTACAAGGAATGTTAGCTTTCCTTTGTGAATGCTGAGCATTGCTCTTCCAGTCTTTGGAAAGATGTGAACAAAATGTACTTGTGGCGCAGATCTAATATAAAGTCAGCCATTTACATTGCCCTTATCTAGAAGCTCTAACTATATGGATATATAAATCTTGGCTCCTGTTTTTAGGGAATATCATAGTTGTAGCTATCTTGTTACATTTGTAAGTATATAAGTTTTTTTTAAACAAACAACTCATGCAGTGTGTTGTCTAGTTCCCACTTTCCTCTCTGCAGGAAGTGCCCAGGCAGGCCAGGAATGCAATGCCTTTCTTTCTCAGTTCTGACATGTTCACATTTCAGTTTCGTTTCACATTTCCTTGTTTTCACATTGAGAGGAAAGAGGAAGAAGCAGTCCTCTTTCTGTTCTAGATACCATGCCGTACTTTGTGTGTACTTCTTACATTTGCTCCTCAAGAAGAGCAGTCCTTGTTCTTTAGGCTGCCTACATGCAAAGTTTCCCCTCAGTGAAACTGAAGTTGCACTTTGGTGGCACTGCTGCTAGCAGTGGTTCTCTTTCAGCTTTCCAGCACTGCATTATTATTTCAAGAGAGCATATTTTGGTTTGAGAACTGTGCTCTGGTATAACATCCAGATGACTTC